TCCCGAGTCTTGTCACCGAACTTCACTGAACATAATGGTACATTCCCTTGCCTTAACTTTTTCTTCTAAGATGTGTTTTTTATTGTTGTTGTTGTTGCTTTTCTTTTTCTTGAAAAAAAAGGTTAGTACAATATTTAAACACCCGATGTTTTTTGTTTTTTTTTTCTCTTTTTGTAAAATGTGTAGTACATCGTTTAAACACCCAAGCGTTGATAAATGGTCTCTGTACAAGACAATAGGGTGTCTTATACTCCGTTTCATACATAGCGTGCAACGCTGTCAAAGGTAGTAAAGGGGTGCGCATGAAAAAATAGAACAAAAAAAGTGTTACTCCGTGCGTTTCGTGGACGAGGTGTAGAAGGCGAAGCTCTGGCGATACTGACATCCCGGTGGCCATGGTTCGAACTCACTCGACGCGCGAAGTTTTTTGGTTTGTTTTTTTCTTTTTTCGACATACTTTTTGTGCAAGATTGTGCGCATTGCCGAAGTGCATATTTCAATGCCTCCTTTCTTCTTGCTTTTTATCTATAAGTCGCCGAGAGGCCAGATTTCTACCATCTGCTCGGCCGCTTTGCAAGTGTTATTTGCCTCCAGCACCGAGTTATTTTTTTGTTTCGTGCAGCGTGGAATGAGGAATAGCCCTGATAGCAGCCTTGTCTCAAAATTTATAATAAGACATTAATCGACAATAGTTGTGGCCTGTACAGTTTATTTTGAAATAGCTGTAAAGGGTAGGAATCTCCCTCTCGGAGCACTTGCGATGCACCTTCACGCGAACGGCGTTTTGTGTGAACTCGTCATGTTTGACGGTCCCCGTCCTCGAAACTTTCACGTTGCGAGGTTTTTGCTTCGGGGACGCCACTTTGCAAGATAGGCATTGCGCCTTGCACTTCGCGACAGTATGGGGCACACTCCAATGTTTTTACTGGCCGTCTGCAGGACTTCACGACCAAATTCTCCGGGGAATGTGTTCTTGACTTGCGTACACATTGGCGATCATCTGCTTGAACTCTTTCAATATTTTCGCACAACGAATCTTCGAAAATATTTGAGCAGGAGAGGTACTTGAGCTTGCTGCGTAAGACGCCATCTTCTCAAAACCAGCCAGTGCCACAGAACCCGAAAACCCGCAGCGGCTGCCGCACGGACGAAAACAAAAACAATTTAAAGTTGTTTACATTATCTTTTTCTTTTTATTGAAAAACATTTGTGGTCCGTCGAAATCATAACGCCACTATTAGTTACTAGCCCCGAAGAGGCACATTTTTCGACTTTTTAAAATTCTTTTGCACTGGACGCACTATTTTATGGGGCGAACGTAGGCACGGTCAGCAATGAAAACCGGTGCGCTAGCTTTGACTGCGTTGCACGCTATATATGAGACGGAGTAAAGGCCCGCTTCAGACGGGGCAACTTTTCCAGCACTTTCGGGGTTGCTGGCGGGTTGCTCCCTAGCTTTCCCTAGATCGACACGAATTGCTCAGATTGGGTCCGGCTCGAAGCGGACGAGCAACTCTGACTACTCGGAGATGTTTGAAGCAGCAGCAGCCAATCAGGAATCCGATATTTTCACGTGACACCCCTGCGGTCGTGATGATGACAACTGAAGACTTAGTTCTGGTTTGAAATGGACTGTTTTTGTGAATAAACTGTTCCAGAAAGATGAGTTAGTATTCTCAGCGCAATTTAAAGATATAAGAACATGTTTTTAGGATTTAACTGTGCGTCTAAATACTGTAAGAAAAATAAGATTTCATGAGGATGATGGCAAGTCGTAGCAATTCGTTTTCTGCATGTGAACGCGGGCGGCCAGTGTTGCTGGTGTTGCGACATGAAGTTGCTGGGCGAAACTGCCCCGTCCGAAGAGGGCTTTAGGGAACTGAATTCAAGGGCCGTAGAGCTCTGGGTGCAAGCCCACCTGGAAACATATATTTTGCCTTTTTTAGTAAAATATATATATATATATATATATATATATATATATATATATATATATATATATAAACTTGGATTCTTTAATTCATTGAATTAAGTGCGGTTCATTCATCTGCACAATTTCGTTTATATCCTCCTCGGAGACCACGTACGATGGTGTGAAGTGCCCGTGTTGTATATTCAATAACGTGGCTCTTGATTCTCGCAGATGATGATGATACCGTGTCTCTAAAAGCTCATAAAAACAAAGAATACTACTACATGTACACGGGGCGAGACAAACAGTGGGAGGATTTCTGGAGCACAAACGAGCACGTACCACGTGACACTAAGCGTCGTACCGCGTTCCACGCGGCGGCGTGTGTTTCCAGAACACCTCCGATTGGATACATTTCGTTTCTTGTGCATTAATAAGATAGGTAGGAAACACCAGGAAGCCAAGGTGGAGTGGTGTAGTGGTTAGCACACCCGACCGGACATTGGGAGGCCCAGAGTTCAAATCCTGGCTCCGCCGTTTTTTGGCTTTCGGCGGGTTCCTGGAAACTTGGATTCTTTAATTCATTGAATTAAGTGCGGTTCATTCATCTGCACAATTTCGTTTATATCCTCCTCGGAGACCACGTACGATGGTGTGAAGTGCCCGTGTTGTATATTCAATAACGTGTCTCTTGATTCTCGCAGATGATGATGATACCGTGTCTCTAAAAGCTCATAAAAACAAAGAATACTACTACATGTACACGGGGCGAGACAAACAGTGGGAGGATTTCTGGAGCACAAACGAGCACGTACCACGTGACACTAAGCGTCGTACCGCGTTCCACGCGGCGGCGTGTGTTTCCAGAACACCTCCGATTGGATACATTTCGTTTCTTGTGCATTAATAAGATAGGTAGGAAACGCCAGGAAGCCAAGGTGGAGTGGTGTAGTGGTTAGCACACCCGACCGGACATTGGGAGGCCCAGAGTTCAAATCCTGGCTCCGCCGTTTTTTGGCTTTCGGCGGGTTCCTGGAAACTTGGATTCTTTAATTCATTGAATTAAGTGCGGTTCATTCATCTGCACAATTTCGTTTATATCCTCCTCGGAGACCACGTACGATGGTGTGAAGTGCCCGTGTTGTATATTCAATAACGTGGCTCTTGATTCTCGCAGATGATGATGATACCGTGTCTCTAAAAGCTCATAAAAACAAAGAATACTACTACATGTACACGGGGCGAGACAAACAGTGGGAGGATTTCTGGAGCACAAACGAGCACGTACCACGTGACACTAAGCGTCGTACCGCGTTCCACGCGGCGGCGTGTGTTTCCAGAACACCTCCGATTGGATACATTTCGTTTCTTGTGCATTAATAAGATAGGTAGGAAACGCCAGGAAGCCAAGGTGGAGTGGTGTAGTGGTTAGCACACCCGACCGGACATTGGGAGGCCCAGAGTTCAAATCCTGGCTCCGCCGTTTTTTGGCTTTCGGCGGGTTCCTGGAAACTTGGATTCTTTAATTCATTGAATTAAGTGCGGTTCATTCATCTGCACAATTTCGTTTATATATATATATATATATATATATATAATTTTTTTTTAAGTTTTAACGTATAGACACATAATTTACACACTAATTCAGTTTCAGAAGCGGTTTTATTCACACTCTGTGGCTTTCTAGTGCTTGCAATAGCTTCTCGGTAAGCTAATGCGAGCTCTGCAAAGGGAGAGGCATCTTCCCACGCTTTGCAGACTGTAAAGCTGTGGCTCGCACAGCTCTGGCGTGTCACACCTCGCTCACTGGGTCCATCGCGAAACATAGGTGCTGCATGAGTCGCGCCACACTGTAAGGCCATATATGGTCGGGTTACAAACCTGGGACCATTCGTCACTGCACTTAGCTATGGTATGGTGAAATGGTTGGGGCATGAAGCAGGGGTACAACTTGGAAATGCTGATCCTCATCACATTTTATCACATTTTTTATTACTTTTGTGTCGAGTCGTCAGCATTTTAAAGGTGAGAAAGCAAGCAGCAGCGACAGCAAGAAAAAAAATTAAAACCGCTCTTACCAAGAATCTATCACGAGCACTAGGAAGCCATAGAGTTTAATTAAAACGCTTCTAAAGGTGAATTACCGTATAAATTAAGTGCTTGTGCCTCAAAAATATAGAAAAATTAATGTAAATACAATTATCAGGATAAAAATATACATTAGGAGGACTTAAACCAAAACTACAGTCTCTAAGTTTGAAATTTGACACCTTAAACCACTCGGCCACCACCCCAATTTTATTTCCAGGTCGTTTATCGAGGTATATGAATTTCGTTTGTAGCTGTCGACTGCAAGAGAGATTGCCTTATTTTCCTTTATTTGACTATCCCCACTAAATATGACAAGCGACCAAGAATAGAACCTCATTTGTCGGCCGAGGCACTGTGCTTGCATCAAGGCAAACTAGCCTGGCTTGATGGGCTTATATTTTGTTTCATCACCCGTTTAGAATTCTGTTGTCGCTCATCAAAAGAAAAAAAACTGTGACTAAGTCTGACTTCTTCTGGTGTGCAGGTACCCTTGGCAGTAAACTCTGCTAAATGGGGCAAAATATATATTATACTTTTTTTTGAGCAAATATGCCTTGTTTTAGCAAAATGAGCAACAATATTTGACTAAGGTGAAACTGAACAAGCCTCTTCACCTGGGTCTGTTTTCATCTCTCGCAGACACTATTTGCTGCTTTTTGTGGCTTGTATCAGACTTTTGTGTCTCTGTCCAGCCAAAGCATCCGTGATAGACTAATACTGGGTTCTTTAGGACTTTGCAGGTATTCTTCGCAGTACGTGGCTGCCAATCAGGAACACGAGTTTGTTCTCGGCCACCAAGAGCAAGTATTTTCAAGGTTAGCTATTGCCTGCCTATATGAGTTTTGTGTTCCATTCCTCTTAGATGCCATTTCCTATGTGCAGTGATCTTTCATTAGTATTTTGTTGTCTCTCTTCTGAAAAAACACCCAAGTTTGACTAAGACCGGGTTCTTTCTTATACATGCAGGTCTTGGTGGCAAGCACCAGCCAATCAAGGCCAGAAGTTTGCTCTTTGGCGCTCATGGCAAGTGTTTTCAAGGTGAGTGATTGATGCCTATCTGAGTTATGTGTTTCATTCCTCACAAACACCTATTTCCTGTCTTTGTAGTGGTCTTGTGTCAGGCATTTGTGTCTCTGTCCGGCCAAAGCATTCGTATTAGACTAAGACTGGGTTCTTTCGGATATCTGCAGCAATTCTTGGCAGCAAGTGTCTGCCAATCTGGAACATGAGTTTGTTCTCGGCCACCAAGAGCAAGTATTCTCAAGGCGAGCTATTGCCCGCCTATATGAGTTTCAGCATTTGTCAAGGAGCGCAAAATCAAAGCACGGGGGTTGGCCATTGCAAAAATGTTGACTCGGAAGCACATATGGAGAAGCTTTACAAAAGTATCCACCTGCCTCAACAAGTGACACCGAAACTAAAAACGTGGGTTCCATTTGAAAGAAAAACATTGTCAGCCCGAGTTAACTCAGGGGCAGCACGGATCAAACAAGCCACGGTACGAGTATGCTTGGTTCAGTCTTTTGTATGGTGGTCGTTGAATTGGTGTTTTCTAAAAAATCGTTTTTTTCGAAAAGTGCGGTGGTCGAAATTGGAGATGGGCATTGAGTCTGGATGTTAAGGTAAAAATTTCATCCACATGCCGGGATTCATGTGCTTCGTCCCTCTAGCGAAGGGGACAAGGACTTCAAAATGTTAGGTTTGCAAAAGGGGTGCATCAGTATTGACGTCTCGTTTTACATCAGGCCTCTCAATTCAAAGCGCACTATAAATGGCATGCTTGAGATTCGTTTTGTACTTCCTCTCAGCAAGTATATTGTTCTGCCTCAAAAATGTCTAATCTGATGTTGACCGCACCTCAGGTCTCCACCGACAGTTCATCAGGACGACACCCAGCCGGGACACTAGGAAGGAGCGACAGGTCCTTGCGGAAAAGAAACGAAAATAGATAGATGGTGGGTGTTTCATTTGCTATGCCTTTTGGCATGCACATTCTGTTTGTTGTGTTTCAAGATTCCTGCAGAATTCATTTTCAACTATTGTAAAATACCGAGCACGCGCCCAGATCGGAGAAGCGCCTATCCCCTGTTTTCGGAACAATCCGCCAATAAGCAAAGGGAATACCAGACACCCATCCACCTGTTTTCAGCAATGCTTAAAATATTAAAAGAACACGTCAAGCCAGGGCCGGATTAAGGTACAGGCTAAGGGGGCTGCAGCCCTGGGCCCCAGGCTGTCAGGGGGCCCCATGCTGGCCCCTGAAAATTTAAAAATGTTAGTCTTTTTGATTATTATTTAAGAAAGTTTAGGCAGAAAGCAGAAGAAACACTCCAAAGGGCCTCTGGCGCAATAGCCTTCTCGTTCTCTTTTCCTCAACAAGGAAACAAGGATGCCATAAAGTTCCCGTCTCTAGATCAGTTGGCGTTTGTGAGATCGGTGTGCAACAGCGTGCCAGAACAACAAAATTTTAGACGGCCTCCCATGCCCCTCGTTAGATTTTTTTTTTTTAAATAGGAGATACATGGAATGACGGTTATGAAGCGTTTTCTTGTACTGGGGCCCCCTTAGCGTGTTCTACGGACAATTGTGGGCAGGAAGCTAAGCAAGCGTTAAGCAAGCAACGCAGATGGTTTACACGTTGTTTTAAACCTTTTCGCGAAACTCCATATGGAGTTCATCTCAGAACGATAAGTTTGGAACAAGCGAAAAGGCGCCCGTATATCTTCCGGACATCGTCTCTATAGCCACCAACAAAAAGGCGTTCCAAGGAGCCGGCTCTTAAGACGCCCCTCAACAGTTTTCGATGGGTACTGGCTGCAAGGAACTGCTCTTGAGTCGATATCTGGTCTGCCAGTGCAACTAAACACTCTTCCTTCCAGCGAGTGATAAGAATACTGCAATGGTTTCACCAACCTCTGAGGTATAACCTTTTATTTTTTAACATTGAGTCATAGAGCAAGATGGCCGCCGAGGTCTAAATTACTGCATTTAAAAAGAACAAGATTAGTACTAAATCTTATGCGAAACATTTTCCCCATTCAAAAAGACAACGAGTAGATACAAAAAGAAAACATGTTGATTCTCATGATAAATTCTTTAAATGCAGATGTGCTCGAACGACAGCGGTCGATGTCTTAGAATCGCAGGCAGCTTCTTCTCTGCTTTAAATGTGGAAGCCTGTGTTTGTTGGCGAAACGAGGGTTCAGTTATTAGAAGAGCGTTTACGAAGTAGTTTGATACCGATAAAGACTGCTTCAAACAACGAAATTTCTTTCTTGCCTATGTCACTTCCTTCACTGTTCACATCAGTAATTAATTAACAGAGGACTAACTAGAAGTTAAAACACCTCCCATAATTTGGAACAATTACAAGAATAAGGGCTCTAGATTTTCGTGGCAGTTGTCCATTTGCGAGGCATGCCATTTAGTTCAGGGGAAGTGAAATTAAAATTGGAATTTTGCAGGTACATTTTGGTTGCTGCATAACTCAATTCATGTATGATTAATGATGTCACTCGACATGTTAGCAAAAGGGTCACCTGTGCTACAAGTCGACATCGCGACCAATTTGTGTAAACTGGCCCGCGCATGTACTTATGAGTCTAGCTGTAATTTTTGTCAAAGAAATTCATGAACAGAGTCAACATTTTAAACGGAAGCAATTCAGTGTTTTTTGTTGTTGTTGTTTTTGTGGTTAAGTTGCTGGATGTGAACGAGAAATCCTAATATTTTCCGCAATCTTTATTTGATTTCAGTTTTGTATCTCAAAATTACTATATTGTAAATTGCTAGAGGGGTTGATTAGCTGCGAAGTAGCTTCTAAACAATCGCATTCGCTTAATGACAGCAAGGAAAACTTGAATTGCATTGAATATACGGATCTAAACAAGGCTCGACAATAATCATACGATGAAAAATATCTAGATTTAACCAGTTAAAAGATATGCATATTCCCGTCGTCATTGTTACCTCCACCACCACCATCATCACCTTCACCATTATCATAAGTAGATGCCTCATAACAGCCTAAACCCAGAGCCCCCAAAGGCCTCGATCCGCCACTGCGTCAAGCGCCCAGGTGCCGTGGCGTCCTTGCCACAATAGTGACGGTCGCACAACTGACAGATCCTTGCCTGGCACAAGCCATGGCATGGCCTTTGGGAACCAGGGAATAGAGATTAGAGATGTAGCACAGAAATTGGAGGCAAGCGGCGAAGGTAAGCCGAGCTACTGGAAAACAAAGATGAAGGGGGTTCCGTCGCATAAGGCATCTATGTCCCGTGAATGTAATTTTGAATGTGCTGTAGGCAGCTACTCAAAAAAATTGTTAGTTGTACGTAACTAATCGCAAATCTCTCTTGCAGTTTGCACGGCCCACAACCCAGCAGGCGCGAGTTCGTTCTCGTTCAAAGTTTCTGGGAGCCGAGCGTGAAAGACGAGGCAGAGGGCACGTGACAGGCGGTCGGCGGAAAAGAGACGAGCTGCCGCAAGACAGTGCGTGCTGAGCGAGGCTGGTAGCTGGACAAGGAACGCCGAAGCCGAGGTACCTGGACCGGCCCATGGCGAACCCCGGAGCGATCCACCAGCGAGGTCTGGAGCAAGACCGGTGGAAACGGCGAGCCCGGGCCATATGACCTGGGCTATGACGATCCCGGGGTGGTTCCGCAGCGAGACTCGGGCAGTGATGGCCCGGGACAGTCAGCCTACGCAGCGCTGGCGTGGGAAAAGCGATCCGCAGGCCTGGACACGGACCCCAACTGTGAGCTCTGATCGACGGGCGACAACAAGGGTCGGCGGGCCCGGACTACCGACTCTCGACGACGTGCAACCGGGAGGTACAGTAAACCCATTCGCTGTCTTATAGTTGCATTGTATAACTCCCTGAGTGACGGGCGGAGCGCATACCGATCGGGCGACGATTATTAGTAGAGGGATCTCCGTGAAGAACCCCACAAGGTGAAGATTCCAGATTTTCTAGTGTGCTCTGAAGCAGCAGTACTGAAGCCAGACAAGCTGTAGGGCATATTCAATTGGCGGAGCTCAGAGCGACTGGGGACGCTTTCATTGAAGCTTGTTTTCCTGCAATCACGCGGACAACACATTTGTCAACGTGTGTCCAGTTTTATTGCAAGAGGCATATTATGTCACGCGCATGTAATTTTGAATTTCTGCGGCTTAGTGTGCTGTAGGTGGCTACCAGTGATGTAATTGCTGCGCCAAACTGCGCCAAGGGGCTAATCCTGCTACATCCTGCTACATTTTGCCAAAATATGGGTAATCTGCGCCAAGCCTGCGCCAAAGGACCAATTTGGGTAGCCTTTGAAAATCGAAACTAAACTGAGTATTTAATTGAGCAGGCGTGTGTTATGTGGCGCAAGTGGCCACCTGACACACAGTACCGTGCTTCAATTGTCCACCCGCTCTTGCATGGTTTTCCCGGCGTCTCGCGTTTCGCGCTCTCGTCTTGTGCATCTCGTCTTTCGTCTCTTTTTTTTTTTTATATTTTCAGCGATAGACGCGGATGTGTGCAGGCGCTCCGACGCTAGCGTGCTGTGTACAAGCTATGCCGTCATGCTGTGAAACGAAACCACGTTTTTGTGCGGCAGAAGTTACTTTGTGAGCCGAAGCAACGGCCATGGGAAAACTATATTTGGTCACTGCCTTTCAGTCACCGTGGTCGCGCGACGTCGAATGTTGCCGTCCCCAGATCACTGTAGATATGGTACTTTCTAAAATGAAACTAAATACCGCCGCATGTTCATCAAAATTCCTGTTCATGTTTAAATCGTACGTTACTGCAAAAATCTTTAATTCAAAGTCTACTCTGTCAAGGTATTGATTATCTAGATTCCTCTAGGTGGGCCTTCTCTCGAGAGGGACCTCGGTACGGGAAAAATCTGCCGTGAAAGAAAGTTGGTGAAGAGAAGTGAGCTAAAGCAAAGAAGGCAATGTCTGCACGCTGAACCTGCACAGCGTGCTTGTTTGTATCGAGTTCAGTCGTTGCACAAAGCGCTCCAAGAACGTTTTGAGGCTGGTTCGCAATGTCTTGCATTGATGCATTCAGATTCTTTATTTTTTGTGTGTTTAGCCTGTACCTTGTATGCCGGCCTGGCAAGCACACGCCACTGGACTGTTCTTGTCGCATGCTCAAAAGTTACATTTTGTGCACAATTTTGGGGATAAGTTAGCAATGGAGCTAAGGGGCATGGTTTCGGTTTCGATCGGACAGCCATTGTCTGCGCTTGCGCGACGAAGCATGCCCAACAGCAAGCCTGCCGAAGTTGACCTCACATGCATGCGAACATGATTGCGTGACTGAGGCACCAGCTGGGACGCTTGAAATTGATTGTTTTACGCTTGCTTACTTTTGACGAAAATCTGGCACGTCGGGAACCAGTAAAATGATGGCAAGCGGTTTTTCGAAATTGCTTGGCAATGCCTACAGCACTGTACACTTATGGGATGTCTGAGCAGTAAAAACAGAAGCAGCGAGTTCCGTCACAACACGTCACATCAGAACACAACACAACACTAAGTTCCCTTCGTTTGTACGGCACCTAAAACAAATATTTTTATTTTCCTAAGAATATCTGCTCCAAAATCCACTTTTGCTGCTTCAAAACACCGTTTTGGTTGCTCCAAAGGCCGCATTTGCTGCTCCAAAACACTTTTTTGGTTGCTCCGAAACGTGCGCCCAAATGGCTTAGGCCAATCACATCACTGGGCTACTCAAAGAAACTGCTGCTTGGACGCAACTAATTGAAAATCTTTCTTGCAGTTTCCATGGCCCACAAGGCAAGAGGTGCCAGTTCATTCTTGTTCAAAGGTGAGGATTATAGATTTTCTAGATTTCTCTGAAGCAGCAATAGTGAAGCCAGAGAAGCGGTACGGCATATTTAATAAACGGAGCTCAGAACGATTAGGGACGCTTTCACTGAAGCTTGTTTGGCTGCAACATACCACTTGTCTGGCCTCATTATTGCTGTAGGCAACAAAACGTGTGCCCAGTTTTGTCACGAGAGGCATATTATGTCACGCACATGTAATTTTGAATTTATCCGGCTTAGTGTGCTGTTGGTGGCTCGTCAAAAAAATTGATACTTGGACGGAACTAATCGGCAATCTTTCTAGCAGTTTCCACGGCCTAAGAGCCAGCAGGTGCCAGTTTGTTTTTCCTCAAAGGTGTGCATTCCAGATACTCTAGTTTGGTGCGAGGCAGGAATCGTGGAGGCAGACGAGCGGATACGTGCATTTAATTGACCGAGCTCAAAATGACCCGTGGCAGTGGCTTTGAAGCTTACTTTTCCACAATCAACGCAGACATAATTTTGAATCTATCCTGCTTGGTGAAGGATTGCCAGGTGTCGCGAACTAATCACAAATTTTTATCTTGCAGTTTCTATATGGCTACAGCTAGTAGGTGCTGTTTTCATTAAAAGGTGAGGATTTCACATCCTGTTTTCAAACATGAAGTTTTTGAATGAGGATCCTAAACAATTATTTTTCTTTTGCAGTAAATGCCAGATCCACCAGGTATGGATAAGTACAGTGTTTGGTTTCTTTATTAATCGTTTGACAACAGCAACATTTTTTTTTATTTTATCACTCAGAAATACACACAGGGAGAGAGTGCGTTGCAAAGAAATGTCGTGCTGAACGCGATATTCCAACTCGTATATAGTTTTATTGGTAGCCGATATAATATATTGATTCCAATATCCATAATACGCTAAGTACACTGGAATCATAAACCCTTATTGGATCCCCGGGATCCAATAAGGGTTTATACGATATTGGATTCCAATGTTTTCAGCGTATTATGGATATTGGAATCCCATAACAAACCCTTATTTTAATACAATACAATAAATGTAATGTTTTCCAATACACGGTCCATATTGTATTGTAATACAATAAAAAGATATTGTTTACCAATATCCATTATACGCTCTTCATATTGGGGCTTTCCAATTGGGGTTGTCAGCCGATGCGGCAAAAAACTGGAGTCGCCGCTACAAAAGGATTAAGAACAGTGCTTGAGAAGGAGCGGTGTGTGTGTGTTTGTAAGTGTGTGTGTGCGCTCGCGCGTATTCTTTTCAGAAGACTACTCGCTGGCGGATGTTTGCGAATATATTGAACGAGACCTTTGGGAAGCGATTTTTAATTACCTGTAATATTTTCAACGATTCCGTTGTATTTTGGTTTAGTTGTTTGGCAAAGGAAGAAATTTATTGTTAATTTATTTAAAGAGAGTGTAATAAAAGGTGTTCCCAGAAAAGAAAAGAAAAACGGGTTCAAATACATTTGGGTTAATTTTCAGTAATTCTCAGTAAGCTATTTGAGGCGCTCTTTAGAAGCATCATGCCCTTCTCATTGGACGTTGGCTCTATGCATTTCACTCCTTTCATTATACCTTTTCTGACATGTGTTCCGAAGTATCACGATGTAGAGTACCCGACACTGTGGGAAAAGCTGGGAAACTTGGTCGAAGAAAAAAGACAAGGGAAAAGAATGTCTCTTCACACGTTGTTGTCCCCGGTCTTTTGTTTTTTCGACCGAATTTCCCAGCTTTTACGACAGTCTCGGGAATTCTACACCACGACCAACTTCCGCCACTTCGCCTGCGCACTCACTGTTTTTCCATAGTATGACGTTTTTTTTTTTGTTTTTTTTTTTTTTTGCGTTTGCGTAATTGGCTTTTCCCCGTCTTTACAGCGTTAAAACTTACGCCATATTTTCAGGATGTTAGAAATTATGTGTTTTATTATGGGTTTCTCATCTCATAACTTCAAGGGTTACTCTACTGCACAAATAATGGTGTTTGCACGGGACAGCCAGAAACAACTATACAGGTGTTATAATGTTTAGTGTTTACATTAGTCATGACAACAAAACAGAACAGAGTTTGCGCGGAGTTTTATTACATGTTCCTTGTCCTCATGATGCCGCTTGTGTGACCAGAAAGCCCCCCCCCCCCCCCCCTTAGTGGAAGTTTAGCTATCGGAAGAGATACTCGCATTCCCCAGCAAACCGACCGGCAAAGTGGTTACACTTTGATTAGCCCTCGAACTAAAACAAAATATTTTGTCTATTTCGGGTTGAGCAAAATTAGCTTTCGAGGGTGAGCAAACAATGGGGTTCGTTTTCTTCGAAGCGCCAGTTGCTCACATAAATAAAACAATAAAGCACCATACGTTGTCTGTAAATTGACCGAAAAAGATTGAATCTGCTACCCCGCCATTTTTATCAAAACGGTAATTACGTCTTCGTTACTCAAATAAAGCACAATCAGTGGCTCCTTCGCTTTCATTGACATTTATTAACTAATAACAAAGACATGAATGTGGCAAATTTTGAAGATCGAATTAGGTTTTAATTCGGATGAGCGTCTCCAGCTCTTTTCGTAAAGTTTTATTTAGC